GTCCAGTAGAACCTGGGATTGCCCAGGATTCTTGCCTGTCTAATTAAGTGAAGGCACATGTGGTGTTTAAACACCACGTGCCCGCCTGCAGCTCTCCAGTAATGCAAGAAATGGACCATTTCTCTCTCCATTCCCTTTTGGGAGGCAGGAGGCATCTGGCGAGGGGCCGCATCTACTATTTGGTGGAAGCGGTGCAACGCTTGACAGGCAAGGGGAATGTGCGGATTCTCTGCAAACGCAGCTGGATGCTCCCGACACAGCTCAGGAAGTAAAGGCACGAGGTGGCGAGTCTCGGCCGCCTTCGCGTGAAGGAAGGGCTCGTTCACGTCTCCTAACATTTTCAGGCTGAGCTTCCAAATGCGAGACTGCTTCCCGCGTCCGAGCACGTCCCTGTTCATGATGTAAAACGCTTTCATGCGCCTTCTCAGCTCGATCATATTTTTCATCCTCCGCACCAAAAGTGCACGATCTGTGGCCGCCGCAAAATTAGATTCAATCAGCATCCAAAACACTGTGCCCACGAGCCTTTGGGTGCAGCCCAAGTCGAGGATGCGCATAATATCCAAACATATCATGCTCACAGTGAAACCCACAACACCCAGGATGGGAGCAGCGAAGTTAAGCCCAGCCCTGTTGTTGACGTGCCAGAATGACAGTTCGACTGGGTGGCCTGGGCGGATGAGCGCCTCCACCTGGTCTAGGCGATGGGTGTCCGTGACAACTCCTTCGAGGAGCAAGCGAAATCCAGCCGTCAACCCCAGTTCGGGACAGGCACGCCATGTCCCGAACCCCCACAACTCTGGGCCGTGTCTGCAGCACGCCACCAAACGTTTGAACTGAGCTCTGGTTGTTACTACTACTTTCTTCACACACCTGCGGACCATGGCTGCATATTCCGAAGGGTCCTTCTCCCTCCATGGCCAAGTTGATATATCCAAGGGGTAGTCGTGCAGATTTGCCTTGCGGCAATCGCAGCAAAAGCATGGATGCTCAACGTTGTCGTACCGACGGTAGCCGCAAGCCTGATGAATTTCTAAGAGGTCAGCTCGCATCTCACAGAGCGCTGCGCACAGGCCCCCAGCCAAGGGGAAGCCGCGTCGTGCAGCGCGGAGGGGGTCGGTGAAGGGGGCGTCCTGGTGGTCCGTGCTTGGAAACACACCCGTGGCCATCACATTCAGCGACCACACGATCACTCGCATCACGGCCGCGAGAGTGCACATACCCCGACAGCCGCACCCACAACAGTCACTTTTCCGCACCACGCATATAATGTGGCGGGCAGCAGTCACAAAACTTGACCAGTAAAAAGCTATAAATGTATCTTTCTTGGTGTGGGGTACCCCATCGGAGTAATATCCGATGGGGAAGGCACGGTCACCCTTCTCTCACCTCACCTGGTGGTTGGCGAAGTGTGGCGGCATATCCTCTGACGGTACACGGCTGGGGTCGTAGTCTTCTGGTGCGGCCACGTAGGTGGCGTGGAAGGTTTCGTGCGGAAGAGCGAATGGGAACGTGGTGTACGTCCTGGTATATGACCCTTTGTCCCAGGTAGGGATCTCTGCAGAATAAAACGACGAACGGCTATTCAGGCCGATCGCTGTCCGAAGATGCTCCGCGTGGTGGCTCGAAGTTGGCGCTAAAGCCAAATCGCCCACGCCAGCGGACCCAGACCTGCTGCAGTGGTACGCGATGACGCACACATCCTAAGGTCGAGGTCGAATACAAATCGCCCTCGACCGCGGGGGGCTTAAGCACACTGCTAATTAGTTAGCGATTGTTCCATGTTAACATGGAACAATCGCAGGTCGACAACCACCCCCGACCTTCAATGAGATAAACGGCCACGTGGCCTAAGCCCCCCAATCGGGGGCGAACATATCCGACCCCGATCGGTCCTTTGCCGACAGCTTCCCTTCGCCCCATCTGCTCAATAAGTAGTGCCGCAACCCTATGCCTTCAGGGTCCTGGGAAATGGCATTGAACAAGGGGCCGATCCAGTGTAGAGCATCGATTGTGCAGTTGCCGATGCTGGGGCATGACGGGAGTGGCAGCGCACAGTCGATGCAAACATATGAGGCGACCCCTCGTTCTGGCCATTATGCGTCCTCGAGCGGCGCTGCAGCTTCTGCATGCATTGCAACATCCAGTGAAACCTCTGCCCCTGCTGCGCGGACCGCCATCCCTTCGAGACTGGTTCTGTTCGGGCGCGTCCAAAATGAAAGCGAGATCACTCGATGGAGATGGCTACGTATATATGAATCACTGAACTAACATATACACCGACGGTTCGAATCAATCCGTACTCGAGAGCTCGATCAGGCAAGCAGTGTCCCTTGTCCAACCCTAGCTCGAGGAAGCTCATCTATATAGGCAAACTGTGGTCGCGTGAAGTGGCGGCGAACTGAAACAGAGACATCACATCCAGAGGCATGCTCCTATACCCAGCGTTCCCTATCTCCCTCTCTCTCTATCTCTATATCTCTCTATCTCTCTCTCTCTCTTAGCTCTCTCTCTCTCTCTGTCTCTCTCTCTCTCTTTCTCGTCAACTCTCATGGGCAGGGATTCTGAACGGGCTGGTGAGGACACGCGACGCGCGAAGAACTTTAACTGACCTGTGTTTCCCAACCATCGGTTTGAATTCATGGGTCTCGCTCTCTAGAGTCTGGTTTGTTTGGGTGTTTTGTTTGTTTCTCTCTCTCTCTCTCTCTCTCTCTCTCTCTCTCTCTCTCTACTAGACTTGCACATGTCGCGGGAGCCAATGCGCTCGATGAAGCTCGAGCTGCAATCTGTCAGCGCTTGAACTGCCGCCTGGAAATGAGAGATCGTCTGATGGGGCGGCGCCGCTCTGCATGACCAAGAAAGCTCGTTTCTCCTGAGCGCATGCGGCGCCTCCGTTCGCGCGGGGCAAGTCTCTGCAGCCCCTGAAACTTGCACTGACCTACGAGCTCGACGCAAGAGTTACCACACCCTTACAAGCATCAGCACGTTAATTGCCATACCCCCGATCAATATGATAGGTTATCTTGCAATGCACTGAAATGCAAACGTTCGCCGATCCCATCGGCGCAGCTACAATGCACTGCAAGGCTAGTACCTTTGCTATCGCCCCCGACCCCCGTAACCACCGAGCACCGTGTAGCGCATGCACTTGCTCGCTAACTTCGCCGCGCATGGAGATAAAGAGGGCACGAACGACAAGAAACAAAGTGGAAACAAACGAGCAAATGGAGCGAGAAAAAAAACGAGAGGCCAACATATATGATATGCTGCACGCTCACTTAAGCATTCCCCTGCGAAGCGGCTGCAGCCGCAGCGACGCTGGCCATCACGGGGCTGATCAAGCCCCACACGCGCTTGGCCTAGCAGGGCACGCGTGCATGCTCCAAGGAAGCCTTGGAATTCATCACAGATATTCCATATGAGCAGCGTTGACGACGCCATGCAAGAACGAAATGTCAGTGCAACCGCAGACACACATGCACCGAGACTTTTCAAAGCACCTTCTGCTCCTCGACTCCTCCCCCCCTCGACTCCTCCCCCTCCTGCCGCCCTCGACTGCGATCGAGCGTGCGATGGGCCAGACCGTGCAGGGCGAGACCTGCCGCCCTCGAGGATCCTCCTGCTCCCCATCATGCAATTGCGGAGCGACCGAGGAGGCCTCCTCCAGCTTCTCGGCCATGTCGGCCATGTCCACGGGATCCTTGGACCTCGGTCGAATTCGTCATCCTCCTCATCCTCCTCCTCATCCTCATCGTCAGACTGATCCACGCTGAATGCACGTATCACGCTTGACCGAAGCGCAGACTACACCATGACGCACTCGTCGCCAACCCATCCCCTCAAGCAAACATGACGACCAACCAAGACGGCCCAACACTTCGCCCGAAGATAAACGAACACCAAAGGGCTGGACCACTTCATATGTTGATGCAGCAACTGAGGGGCTGACTTGCCCTGCAGTGACATCGTCATCGCAGTCTTCACCACCTCGAGGTTCTTGAGGCTGGCCACGATCTGCTTCTCGTACGGCTTGAGCCACGAGTGCTCGACCACCTCCCAAACACGCGCACGTCATCCTTCAGATCTGACGTTGCACAAACAACTGCGGCACCTATCTGCGAAACCCCATCGTGCTGCGATCCGAGACGATATGTGCTGGCACCAGTGCCCGAAATTGTGCGAAAACGCATGTTAAAACTGTGATGGAGGCGTGGGGTTAATCACATCACTCTCGAAAGTGATGTGATTAACGCCACGCCTCGAGATTACTCTCTCGTGAGTGAGGTACGCGTTGCGCGCTATCGCACGCGAGATCGCGATAACTATAAGGGGCCTGAGTGGTGAGGCTGAGCACTGCACGCAGACAGCCTGCGGCGAGGGAGTCCGCCCCTCCCACGTCGAGCCCTTGCAGGAGCGCGGCCACGCGGGACGCCTCGCCGAGCATCTGGCCCCACTCGCTGGCCTGAACTTTGTCGCTGTCGACACGGGATGTCGATGCAGAGCCGCCAGCCTCGAGGGGCCGATGCGGGAGATGGATAGATGGAGTGCGCAAGCACGATCGCATGAATGAGTTCGCGCATGCACCATGCCCCCACGCGGGGGCTCAAGGGGGCTAGAGAACGAGCTGACACGGGTTATACGTGAGCCACTGGATGACCCCCCAACGTGAGCAAGATCAAACCGGCACGGCCTGCTTGGTACGTTCGGGAGACTCGGACTCGGAGCTCTCGGATTCCGACTCCTCACCGCAGGAGTATTCAGAGTCCTCGTCGGCATGCTGCAGCTCTGTCTTCTTGGCAGCCTCCCCCAGGTCCACTCGGCTCTGAGAAGAACCAGAGTCGATCCGTCCACTCGCACTGCACACATCAATGCATATGTCATACACCTATATATACAAATATTTGCATATTTGAAGATCCATCCCTCTATAGCTACGGAGACGTATCTCGATTGATACATGTATTTATTTATATGTATATCTATATATAATACAGATGTTTGACGATTTGCATGTACATGCAATTACATATACTCCCTAACTTCATACATATATATTTATGTCGATCTATCTATCTCTCGATGGTACTCTTGCCCACGCAACCCCATGACCACCGAACCTTGGCCGACCTGTGGTCGCTGGACGTCACCTCGGCGATAGGTTTCAAGCCCGTAGTGCGCGTGGTCTTCAGCTCCTGCTTGTGGCTCCTGGTCTCCGTGCTCACCCTCTCGATGCGGCGGTACAGCGTCTCACCAGTCTGGGTATCCACCTCCATCTCTCTGCGACGCAAGCGCTCGCTGGGAGAGGACGCGTCGATGCACAGATGTGTTAAAACTACAACTGACATTAGAAATGCACGTCCTGCCCGAACCCCCCTCCCATATACCGTGGTGTGCGTCTTCCTCAGCTTCTCGCAGTTGGCGCGGACCACTTCCGCCCGAGCGTAGGCCCTGCGGCGGGCGAGAGGCTGGGGCGGCGCGAGGTTTCAAAACCCCAGACCACAGGGAACTCAGAAGATCTGCACACTACTTACCAGGGCTCAGACCCGAGCGGTGAGCTCCAACATCGATCACGCACGCAATCACGAAGGATGGGACACCAAGAGGGTTCACAAGTTAGACTCAACAGGGTCGCAAAGATCCAAGAAGAGCTACACTGTCAAGAGGGCTCCCACCCAAAAGGGTGCAGCCCCAGGCGGAACTGAACGTGCGCAGCATACTGATTCATGATCCTGTATGCTCTATGCTTCTCTCCTCCTGATCCTCCATGCTCCTCCTGATCCTCTATGCTTCTACCTGCATGATGATCCCTATCCCCTGCTTCACCCCTCGGCTTGGCCTCTGGCCAGTGGGCGTGTCTTTGTTCTGCTCAGACCACCCGCACGTGGCCAGTAGGCCGTCCCAGTTGCGCCACTGATCTGCGGAGCCCTTGATGTTCATCTTTTCCTCGCTCTCCGTTTTCATGCTTTTGACAAAGTCGAAATTGCCTGGGCTAGCTACGAGAACCTATCCATACACACATTGCACGGGACTGCAGGGTTGGTGGGGCCACGCGTGCGGCGCACAATAGTCACTGAGCCAATCCACCAAACTCGGCATGAGGGTAACGACGGGAGGATTCGGACGAGGACAGGTCAGCCCAGGAGTCCAAGGGTGAACGGGCACGTGTGCATATATTTATGTAATTCGTGCACATATGTTTCGTGATCACGTGCGTGTTATCAGTACATGCGTATATGTATATGCATATATATACATGTATGTGTCGCTGTATTTTTACAGCTATATATATACACATATACAAATGCACAAATACATGACCATGTGTCTATAGCTGTACACAGTAATATTAACATCGATCGGCACGTTTGTGCACTGAAGTTCCAAACAGGTACTTGCACTAGTATATACAGACATGTTGGTTCTGACATGTTAACACTGTTTCCTTGCACCCCTGGGCGCCGTGCTTGCGCCACTTATTCAACCACTCCTTGTGGTCCAGAGTGGTGGCTCTCTCGTATTCATCCTTGACCTCTTTCTTCTGTTTTGCCAAGTGGGTCCTGGGTCAGGGACGCCCGACAAAGATCGACAGCACCATGTACATCCTTTCCTCGAGACCCCCCTCCTCGTCCTCCTCTTCCTCCTCCTCCTCCTCCTCCTCATCCTCTCGATTTGATCATGATCACGTTGACGGGCTCATGCAGGCTTGGCACCCTCCAGCTAGTTTCCATGGCGGGGGGTCCGGAAGCGCTGCAGCAAGTTCTCGTGTTCCGAACGGGCCCGCCTGCTCTCCTGCTTGCGGCGTTTCACCTGGTCGGGGTCAGCTTTTGCCTTTCCCTTCGCCTTGCCTTTGGGCGGCATCTCACCTGCCCTCCCCGTTATATGTACAGCGTGGGCCTCAAGGCCCACGCGGGAATTCGCGCAGCTGGATCGAAACAGAAATCATGGCGCAACATCCACATCGGCACTGCAGGGCGATAGAATATCCACATCGATATCATCGACGCGTCGCAATCCACAAGCGCGCCCGACGCGCGCGCGACCACGCACGCGCACGCACGCGCACATATAGTCGACGCACGCACGCACACGCACACACGCACACACGCACACACTCAACACACATGTATTTTTTCATGCGCAATATCCACATCGGACACAGAGTTGCCCCTTTTCGCCTGCAGGACGGTCGCCTCCGACCCTGGCGCGCACGGCGCCAGGGGCCATGCACTCGCAACGCGTTCCACGCGTACGCGCGCGTGAAACTGGGCGCATTAGTGCGCTCACGCATTAATGCGCGGGCGCATTAATGCGCCCGCGCGCGCCCACGCTGGGCGCGCGCGCATTAACGCACCCCTGGTTACCGCAATATACACATCGGACACGCGTTCCCGCACTCGCGGGGGGCGGGGGGGGGCGCCAGGGGGGCTGGCGGTGCCCGCGTTGCGCAGATTTGGCGCGCGGGGGGGGCGGGGGGTGGTGCCAGGGGGGCTGGCGGTGCCCGCGTTGCGCAGATTTGGCGCGCGGGCGATAGCGCTGGGGGGCGTTGCGGCACACTGCGGAAAGCGAGGAACATGAGGAACATGAGGAACATTAGGAACATTACGGAACATTACGGAACATTACGGAACATTACGGGAACATGAGGAACATGAGGAACATGAGGAACATGAGGAACATTAGGAACATCACGGAACATTACGGGACATTACGGAACATTACGGGAACATGGGGAACATGAGGAACATGAGGGACATGAGGAACATTAGGAACATTACGGAACATTACGGAACATTACGGAACATTACGGGAACATGAGGAACATGAGGAACATGAGGAACATTAGGAACATTACGGAACATTACGGAACATTACGGAACATTACGGAACATTACGGAACATTACGGGAACATGAGGAACATGAGGAACATGAGGAACATGAGGAACATGAGGAACATTAGGAACATTACGGAACATTACGGAACATTACGGAACATTACGGGAACATGAGGAACATGAGGAACATGAGGAACATGAGGAACATTAGGAACATTACGGAACATTACGGAACATTACGGAACATTACGGGAACATGAGGAACATGAGGAACATGAGGAACATGAGGAACATGGGGAACATGAGGAACATTCCGGAACATTACGGAACATTACGGAACATTACGGAACATTATGGGAACATGAGGAACATAAGGAACATGAGGAACATGAGGAACATGAGGAACATTAGGAACATTACGGAACATTACGGAACATCACGGAACATTACGGAACATTACGGGAACCTGAGGAACATGAGGAACATTAGGAACATTACGGTCCCCGCCATTCCGAGAAACCCAATTCGGGGGTACCCGATGGGGGGGTTGAGCATCCTGAGAGCCCAACCCGCCCGTCGGGTGCCCGTCGCGCCGCCCGTCGGGCTCCCGTTGGGCGCCCGATAGCGCTGGTCGGTGCCGACCAGCGACATCGGGGTACCCCAGTTGGAAGCGTGTGCCCTATAGAGATAGGGCCTACGCCACCAGCTGCGCCCCGCCCGCCCCGTGGACGTGTCCCCCGCCCTTGAGCGAGCGCTTTGTTTGCAAAGTGCAGTGTAGGACCGCTGCAAGAAATCGCTGCAGAGCTTCTCCTGCCAACCGCGATGCCCAGGTCCAGCTGCACCTGGGCTGCGCAGTCCCTCCCCATTGCTGCCGCGCGCGTGCGCACGTTCATATTCATGTAAATCTGTATGTATGTATGTATGTATGTATGTATGTATGTATGTATATATATACATGCGCATATAACGGTGCCGAGCGTTTGCCAGCTTGGTGCGTCTGCAAACGCTGGTCCCCTCCTCCTTTCCGGCCGCCCCACGGTACCCTTCCACCCTATACCCATGTGTATTTATTGGGCCCCCCTCCGCTCTCGATAAACATCAATTCATCGGCCCACCCCCTCTCGCACCATAGTTTTGGCACCCCTCGGCCCTCCCCCCGAATATCGTCGTTTCCTCCTCCTCCGCCCCATGGTCCTCCTCCTTTCAGTGCCCTTTTTCTTCTCATGATCGTCGTTTCCTCAGCCTCTCTTCATCCCCCTCCTCCACCTCTTCTTTCTCCTCGCACCTGATAGGTGTATATACACGCACGCACGCACACCCATATAGCCATGCAGCTCGATTGCATGCGCGCGCATGCATGTGCGAACGCTATCGCCACACATCGATGTATGTGCATACATGTGTAGGCGCACACACGCGTATGTGCATGCATCTAAACATGTAGATATAAGCACTTTTATAGACACATGTGTGCGCGTGCATGTACGCATGTATACAGGTACACGACGCTCCTGTATATCGTACGCATTTGCATACATACATACACACACCTGCACACGCCTTGAACGCTCCGAATCGAATGATGCATACACGTGATTGGTATACCTCACTGTCAGTCTCCCCTTTCGCCTGCAGGCCCGTCATGCCCCCGCCCCTTTTCGCCTGCACACGGGTGAACTTGCCGCGTCGAGGGGGCCCGCGCTGCAGAGGGATCCCGTCTTGATCTGGATCGGCTGTACCAGGGGGGCGCGGGCATCGAGATGGCTGGAGGTATACATATATATATATACATCGACAAGAGTGCAGACACGCTGACCTCAAATCGTCGGCTGAGCTGTCAGATCGAGTCATGTGGTTCGGATCCTCGAGACATGCGTGGAAGCGGCACCGCATCCCGCAATTCCACTTCAGATGACGCAGCACTTGCAAGAACACCCTTTCACGTATTTATGGTTATTCGTACACAAACATATGCAAATGTATATGTATGTGCACATATGTAATAACCACATATACGCATTCATTGGTGTAGGTATATATGTGTACACATAGACGTGCATACATCCATAATGTTCTGCAGCCGTGATGGCGGCATCGCCCCATCCACGCGGAGCTACAACGGTCGCGGTTGTCATTGGCACCGTGCACACTTGCGAGTCTCGAAAGTCTCAGGGCAGAGTTACCCCGTAGGGTCGCACCTGACATGTCTGTGAATATATATATATATGTATATATACATACACCTATTCGAGTGCATATGTATGTATATATTGACATGTCAGGTGCGATGTACACAGATGTGGTTGGATCGGCACATCTATACGCTTATATGTAGAGTGATCGACAAAGCACGCCCAATCTCGCAACAGAACGTTTGCAACCGCATGACCACGTGCACATGCTCCGCTCTGCCTCCATATTTTCTGCGGCGCCAGGCCTCGAGATCAAGCGGGGAGCAGGGGCCCCTATGCCCCCCCCCCCCCCGCACGATGATGAACATGCGCGCGTCCGTGCGAGCGCAGCCGCCCCACTCACCTGCGGGCGAGGCGGGCGCAGAGGAGGAAGAGGAAGAGGAGGATCCAGAAGGATGATCGAGTCCACGCGCCCTGGGGCACGAGTCGCACAGCCACTAGGACGCATTCAAACGATCGTTTGATGCCAGCTGGTCGTTGACCCCAGGGCCAACGACCAACTGACATCGGCGGCGGCACACAGGGGCGCAAGGAGGAGGACTGAGGATGAGGAGGATCGAGGGAGGAGGAAGCAGAGAAGGGATCGAGGAGGGATCACCGAGGCTGGAGGCAGAGGAGGAGGAGGATGAGGAGGAGGAGCGATCCTCGAGGAGGGGGAGAAACGAAATGAGGAGGAGGAGCGGAAGGCAACCCTTCCTCTCTCGCTTCTTCCCCTCTCACCCCTCCCTCTTGCCATCAATCGATCACTCCATATATGAATCCCTCATCGGGCCCATCCCGCCTGGGCCTTAATCCCCCCCTCCCTCTCTCTGCCCCCTCCCGTGCCGCGCGCCTGCCTTCACAGTAGCATGAATTCGTCGATGCTGATGTCGGCGATGCTGATGCCGACGATCTCGTGATCGTCGATGCTGCTGATCACGACCACGGCCATGCATATGCCGATCACCTCGGCTGCGCTATGCGGGGGTCGATCGCTGAGGAGGTCGACGGATGGGGGCGAACGGGAGGCGATGGGGGGAGGGGCCACCAATGGAAATTGCCTGGTCTATGGTATACTTTAAACTGGCCAGGCGATCACAAGGTCCATGCACATCAGTACACATAGTTAATACCTAAAGATACATCAATATATCAATAGTTACTATCTAAATGCACATATATAAGCACAACTATACATCAATACACATATATACTATATAAGGTCATGCACGGGAACACCTCCAGCCCGATACACACACCCCTGGATCCACGGGCGTTCGATCCCGAACTCGACGCCAGGAGCGGCCCGTCATCTCGAGGTAGACGTCCTTCTTGAGGGCCGCGCACCTGTCTTTGCACGCCGTGCCCTCCCTCTGGATCCAGCCCAAGCACTTCTTGATGAACGCGAAGCTGCAGTGCTGGCTGGACCACTTGCCGCAGATGTCCTCGAACTTCTTGTCGGAGACCATGAGGAGCTGAGTGCACTTCTTATCGCCATCCTTCTTGTAGTAGAGGCAATCGTAGCCCTCGGAGTTGCGGCGCACGCGTTTCAGCCAGTACCAGTTGGAGTCGTGCGTGCTCATCATCTTGCAGCTCGTCTCACCGCCATCCCCGTCGTCGACGAAGATCACCTCGGGACTGTCGTCCTCGCTTGGCTTGGTATCCTCAGCCTCCTCGATCTCCTCGCCTTTCTCGTCCTCCTCTGCCTCGGCGGGCTCCTCAGCGCCCTCGGCGGGCTCCTCAGCGCCCTCGCCGCTGCCCTCGGCCTCGCCGCTGCCCTCGGCGCCCGCGCCGCTGCCCTCGGCGCCCGCGCCGCCGTCCTCGGCGTCGGCGTCCTCGTCGTCTGGCGCGCCGCCTGCAGGCGGGCGCGGCGCCGCAGCTGGCCTCTTCATGCAAGCCGCGGGCCGCTTCGCGACCGTTGGCCGTGATCCGCTGCCGCTGGCCGCTGCAGGCTCTAGGACGTCGGCCGCAGCTGGCCGCTTGCGGGGCGTTGCCATGCTGGCAAAGCTGCACGGGATCTGCCCGAGCGGCCCGTTGTCGTCATCGTCGGGCTCCTTCTTAGCGTGCGTCTTGTCTTTCTTGTCCTTGTTGTCTTTCTTGTCCTTCTTGTCCTTCTTGGCGAAGTGATGCCGATGCTTCATCCTTTTCCCAGTCAAGCTTTTCAAGTACGGCACGACCACAGACTTGATGGGTTCTTCGTCCGCCCCCCCTCAACCATCAGCACCATCAAGGGTGGTGCTAGTGCTATCAGCATCGCCGCCATCGTTGGCGGCGATGCTGATGTTGATGCTGATGATGCTGCTGGTGTTCATGATAGTGGTGATGATTATGATGGTGTTGATGATGATGATGATGATGATGATGATGATGGTGCTGATGATGCTGGTTATGATGATGGCGTTGGTGGCATACGATTTACAATAGTAATAACAATGACAAGCATACGACTAATAACGATGAGGAGCCGAATGAGACTGATGTTCAGGATGGTCCCTCCCCGTAGCCGTCACGAAGTGTCACTCAACACTGCAGTCGATTGGGGCATGCAGACATGACTCACCACAGTCGGATAGGCCGCACGAACATCACCAACGAATTCGAGAACGTTCAGTCGGCCAATTAAGAGAACATCCAAGGGCGCTTTGCCATGGTGCACACGAACATCCAACACGCACGACCGACCATTCGGGTACTCGCTCTGAACCTGCCTCGATCTTAAGCGCCTGCTCAGGCCATTCCCTGAATTCAGGGAATGGTCTGAGCAGGCACTTAAGATCCGCGCGACCTGCGCCGAGGGCCGTCGATTGAGTTTTCCTTGCGCACCCGATCGCACTATACGATCGGGTGCGCATGGAAAACTATAGACTTAAGACATCAAAAACGATACTTCACCCTACAGGGTGAAGCATCGTGTTTGGTGTCTGAAACTTT